GTGCGGCCGAAATGTAAGAATCAAGGGAAAGAGTGGGGTGATATGAAATTGGAGAGGTAGGCAGGGGCCAGATCATGAAAGTCTTTTGAAGAGAAGGGGAAGGCATTTGGATTTTACTCTAGTAACAAAGGGAAGCCTTGGGAGCATTTTAAGCAGTGAGGAGGGAAAGGGGCATAATCAGATTTATGCTTTTGAAGATCCCTCTGACTGCTATATGGATAATGGAACATAATGTCGTATAAATGGAGACAGGGAGGCCTGTCTGCTGCAGGAATCCAAGCAAACAATGAGGATGGTTTTGATTAAAACTGTAATCACAGGGCGCCTGGGTGGCTCAGTCATTGGGCGTCTGCCTTCGGCTCGGGTCATGATCTCAGGGTCCTGGGATCGAGTCCCGCATCGGGCTCCTTGCTCTGCGGGAGGCCTGCTTCTCCCTCTCCCACTCCCCCTGCTTGTGTTCCTGCTCTCGCTGTCTCTCTCTCTGTCAAATAAATAAATAAAATCTTTAAAAAAAAAATAAAAAAAAAATAAAACTGTAATCACAGAGATGGTGAGAAATGGATAGATTTGAATACATTTTGATAACTTGATGAATTCATCAGAATTTCAGACATTCTAATTCTGTACATCTGGGGAGGGCCCAGAAAAATGTAGTAACAAGTAACCTGAGTGGTTCTGATGAAGTACACAATAAGTTACTGAGAAAATACATGTGTAAGGGACTGAGAACACACTTGGCCATTTCTTTCAATGAAAAGGAGTAAGTGACTCAAAAGGCAAAATTATTGTTTTATGTTTGAGAAACTGAAAGATCGGGCGCCTGGGTGGCTCAGCCGGTTAAGCGACTGCCTTCGGCTCAGGTCATGATCCTGGAGTCCCGGGATCCAGTCCCATATCGGGATCCAGTCCCATATCGGGCTCCCTGCTCGGCGGGGAGTCTGCTTCTCCCTCTGACCCTCTTCCCTCTCGTGCTATCTCTCATTCTCTCTCTCTCAAATAAATAAATAAAATCTTAAAAAAAAAAAAAAAGAGAAACTGAAAGATCTTTCATTTGGTAAAATGATCCTAAAGTTTGAGTAAAATTAAGCAAAAAATTACAATAGCAAAACGAATAGGAGTTTATGTTTCTAAAAAACTAGTCTCTTTTGGCTTTTTGTCTCTCCTAGCTCAAACTCATGACCCTGAGATCATGGTCTACCAACTGAGCCAGCCAGGCGCCCCTCCACACGTGTTTTTAATACCTTTTCCCTGTGGACCTCCTGGTCTCTGCCAGTTCTTCCCGGCTTTCTACTTCCATGATTGGCATTACTATTTTACCCCAATATCCAGTCCTCTTCTACCTATGATGGCATTTCCCCCAATGCCTTGAAATTAAATCTGGCCATGACTTGCCTTGGCAAATGAAACGTCAGTGGAAATGACCTATGTAACCAACTCTCCAGCCCACTGTGGTAAGGGGTGACTGGGTAAGCATGTGGTAAATATACAAATGCCACAAGATCAAAACAATCTGGGATTCTGAGGCTGGAGAACAGCTGTCTGGAGAATAGCCAAGATCCACAGTAGACTTTGGGTGAACGCTGGGGTTTGGGGTTGTTTGTAATCGCAGCATGACCTAATCTATCTTGATCAATCTCTCACCTTCACTGGGCTCTCACATGGCTGCTTTGCGGCAATGATTGGCCTTCATCAAGACCCATGTGTGGCCCTCTCTGAAACCATGATTAAAAAACCAGATGATTTTCCAGTAATAAGGTAGAAATTTAAGTATTTCTTAACTTCAAGGATCTCAGATGTTGGTGTCCCTCTGCAGTATTTTGTCTTCTCTTCAGTAAAGATAATCTAGGTGGTAAAGGTAAGTCTTCTCAACCCATTCTGGGTTGCCTCTATCTTAATTTCAGTAAACAGCCATCAGAGGTCATGTCAATAACATCTATGTTCTGGCCTCTACCTCTTCTTGTGAAAAATCCAAAAAGCTTTCATATGTTTGAACGTATTCTGATCTGGGGTACATATGATAGCTATTGCCACCCAAAATTTCATATGTATTTAGTAAGGAGTAGGATTTATAGAGTCCATTTACATCTTACCTTTTAAATTTCAATGAAGCCCCTTAGAAACAGAACCGGTACTAACTCCATGATGCTCACCATTACCTTGGCCTAAATTCGGGTTTCTAAACCTCAGCACTATTGACATTTTGGGCAGGGTAATTCTTTGCTGTGGAGAGTTGTCTAATGCATTGTAGATGTTAAGCAGCATCCGTGGCCTCCACCCACATCCCTGTCAATAGCACACCCCAGTCATGACAACCAAAAATGTATCTAGACATTGCAAAATCACCACTTGGGAACTACTGGCCTAAAATGAAGGTATATGTTTGTGACAGCTATTGCCAAATGATGACAATTTAAAAAGCTAATTAAGTTTGTAAAAAATTATCAAGATCCATATTTAAGAACAGACACAGTGGATATTTTAATGAAAGCAATGGTCCTGCCATTCTTTATTTCTAACAATAATACATATTTACAGCAGGAAAAGAATTGTACATTTTAAATTCTGATCATGATACAGATTTGGTGTTGCAATTGAATAATAAAAGAACGAATCTCTTAGTGACTTTTTCAAAATAACTTCAGTGTTCAAAGGTACAAATGATGATACCGTAAAATTTCAATAGCTGGAGGAAGCTCACTTCAAAATGAAAGACACCTAGCACCAGGAAAAGAAATGAAGCAACATCACTGGAGACAGGATCTCTTAGGAGATCTGATCTGAAGCTATGTTTATCATAGATTCACTATCCAATCTTCAACCTACATTTTAGAAACTTGGGTGAAAAAGTACATGAAGGAAAATCTCCACAGGTGGTTTTTTTTTTAATTTTTTATTATTATGTTAATCACCATACATTACATCATTAGTTTTTGATTCTCCATAGGTTTTTGTTGGGTTAGAAGACTTTAGCTTTTTTTTTTTTAATTTTTTTTTAAGATTTTATTTATTTATTTGAGAGAGGTAATGAGATAGAGAGAGCATGAGAGGGGGGAGGGTCAGAGGGAGAAGCAGACTCCCCGCCGAGCAGGGAGCCCGATGTGGGACTCGATCCCGGGACTCCAGGATCATGACCTGAGCCGAAGGCAGTCACTTAACCAACTGAGCCACTCAGGCGCCCCAGAGTCAACTGAGTTTAAAATCTTGACTCTCCCGCTTTATTTATTTCAGAGAGAGAGAGAATGAGAGATAGAGAGCACGAGAGGGAAGAGGGTCAGAGGGAGAAGCAGACTCCCCGCTGAGCAGGGAGCCCGATGTGGGACTCGATCCCAGGACTCCAGGATCATGACCTGAGCCGAAGGCAGTTGCTTAACCGACTGAGCCACCCAGGCGCCCCGATAAATTCCTTTTTATAAAAGGCTAAAGGCGCAGTGAAAACAATGAATATTTGCACTTCACCCTTTCAGAACTCAAAATAATTCAGAAGGCAAAATAATTCAGGCGGCCAGCACCTCGTTTGTCCTGTAGGTGGCAAAATTATCCCAAGAGGATTCCAGGGACTGGCTGAAGTATCGCTGCACTGAGGTTAATAGTGGTAGATGACTTTTTAAAGCTTTACTTAAAATCCAGGTTTTCAAGTTTTAAAGTTATTTCAAGTTTTACAGATTTAAAGACGCCTTTTGTGTGGTTCTGAACTAACGAAGATTTACTTGCTGTACTCATGCTCAGAAATATATTGTTTTACTTTTTAGGGACTAGATTTTCAGTCTGATTATCTCTGAAAAATTCCTTTTTGCACTTGTTGTCCAGCGGGTTTTGCTTTACTGGACGACCCATCCAAATTGCAGGACAAGAGCTTGTGAAACTAAAAATCTGTTCTTACTTGTCTGCAGCTGTGAAAAGCAAGCTTGAAACCAGTATCTAAAAGGGAGGGAAGAAGGCCCTCAAGATTTCATCTGGTTTTACTTTTTTCTCATCTCACAGTAGATGGCAGAATAGTAAGCAAGTTTTTAAAGAATGAATGGATAATTTATTATAAAGAATTGGGGGCACTGTGATTATGACTACATTTATGTGTAAGGAACAAAGTTCATAAATGATGACAATTAAAAAGCTAACTACAGCCAAATATTTTATCCTCAGTTGTTATCACTAGTCTTCATAGCTTCCTTTGCTTGCTTACACTAGAGACGTCATTCTACATCCCGGATTTGTCATTAAAGAGACAGATATGAGAAATAGAGCCATCAGATAACCACTTGCTGCAAGCACTGAATATACAGTTATTTGAAGAACTAAGACTAAATGGGGGACAGAAGGGAGAGAGTATAGTATGTTATACCAGTATTTTTTGGAAATCCTGATATAGTATGACTTTTAAAAACAGAGAATGGGAAGAGCAAATGAAAAAATTTCAATTGTTTCAGTAATCATATGGGTGGTGGTCATATTAGCATTGTTATTCTGAGGCTGCTGCATGTGTATGGTAAATAAAGGAAATGAATAATTGTGGGATATTCTAACTCTGTCATGCCTTGTGTCCTTGAAAACCAGGATTCTCAGTATAGAAAATGGAAATATAGTTGTAATAGAAAGGATTAAGTAAAAACTCTGTAGTACTCAATTTGATTTGGAAGTTTCACAATAAACTCACAAAGTGTTTTATCTTATTAAAAAAATAGAGATTTTCTAGCTCTCTCCTAGGAACAATGGCCAATGTAATAGCAATGAGCATCCTTAGAGCCTTGATTATGGTTTTGAAATACCATTTCTCACTAAAAGTAGCCAGACTTCTTAGAGAAATGGCTCATTCCAGGTCTGGGGCAGGAAACACACAAGTTGAGCCTAGAATATCTTGTCTTCTGAGATAGCAAGGAAGCTAATAAAGACAGCTAGTGTAATGTCAAAATGACTCAGAGGCAACTTGGTGAGGCTCCCAAAGGCCAAAGATGGGACAATTTGAACTTCAATAAGGTAATATTTGAAATGGGTTGAAGCCTCTCAAATATGTTTGAACCCATGAGTTCGTAATACCGAAAAAAGGAAGGGATCTCTGGAAGGTAATAGGAAACAAGTTTATTTTCTTGAAAATTAGTACATGAAAGGAAAATACAAATATTTACCTTCCCTTTCCTGTACAAACTTGACCAATGGTTAACCAAATAGTACATGTGGGGAAACATCTCTTTATAAAAATGTTCCAGTTAATAAATGAAAGAGAAATGATAGAATTAGAATATCTTCTACCTCACAGTAAATCAATGGATCTAGGTATTGAGTATCAATTTCAGCTGACATCACAAATAGAGAGAACCAAATATTATGTGCCCTCTGATGAAAGAACACACCATGACCTATAGTCTTGCCAAAAAGGACTGAACCTGAGCCTATTCAAACATCTGGATCCATGTGTCAATATCCAGAGGAAAGAGGAATGTGCTGAATTGCACCATGAGTACACAACCAGCAAAATACAGACTGTGGGAAACTCTATAGGCCATGAGACCAAGTTCTTCAGTAAATTCTAAGGAAAAGAAAGAAGGGAGAACCTATAGATTTAAAAGATGTAGCCAATAAAACAATTTTAAATGGATAAGATTAAAATGCAGTGTGTAGAGATACACACTTGGGTAATAATAAAGAAATGCAAGGAAGTGATTATAATGGGTATCACTGTAGTGATTACAATGGGTATAATCACTGCAGTGATTATAATGGGTATTAGTTACTTCTGTGGAATTTGGGGAGATGGTTGATAACTGTGACTGGACACACAGAGGACAACCAGAATGGCTGGCGGAGTTCTAAAACAGTGTTTCCTTATAATGATGTAAAAAGCTACATTTTGTTTGGTTTTCAGTATTTATATTTTGTATTTTTTCTAAAGGAAAAAAGTAAAAAAAGCAAAGCCCTTAGGGTTTTCCACTAAAAATTATGGATGTGAACACTTCTACTATAAATATCAGCTGAAGGTTCTTAAGAAAACTGCCTATATTATAGAAATATTTCTAAATAATAAGCTACAAATATTTGAAAAATATAATATTAAATTCTTATTGTGCATAGTTATAAAAAGTCAAAGAATTAAGTATACATTCCTAACACAAAATTTATTTTGTTACAGTATTATGTTTTACAATTTGGTTAAGTGGACTTTGTTGACTTCCAAAATTTTCCTCCTCTACTCCAATACAAGGCTACTCATATTATTCTATTAGAGATTAGATGAGCACTACAACAGATTTCATATGTCCTTGAATGTCCACACTTGGTTTCACTCTCCATCTTTTTAGATAGAACAAAGATTAGTTATCTTGCTCAACCATGATAGTAGTTATTAATATGTAGCATTACACATAGTATCATCCAATTTGCAAATAAAGATCCTTCATCCACATATCCTGCCTTATGTCCTCTTCCATATATTAATGGCTGATGGAGACTACTTTTTGTTGTTAAGTGTCTAAAAAACTCAAGAATGTTAAACAGATTTAAGCCATCAAAATGAAAGTAGTTTTAAAACGCAATATAACAATAAACACGGACAAACGTATAACAGTGTTGTACATCTTTGCCCATGGAACCTTGACAATTCCCCTCCAATTGTTCAAGCAGCATCTTAACAAATGGTGCAATTCTATGGTCTCCTTCCCTTTCCTCTTAATTAAATTATGCGGTGTTTGAGTGATTCACATATTCCAGAAGTGACCGGTCTAAGACCCTTCGGATAAGAGCTTCCTCAATTATATTAAAATCCTACAATAAAGAAAAATAATTAGAAACATATAATCAGAGATGAGAGTTTTCAGCAACTGGAGGAAACGGGCCAAGGCAGTGCCCCATTTTGCAGGAAAGTAGAGCCCTGAATTTAGTGACCTAAGTTTCCACAAAAACTGTCATAAACCCCAGGACTTCTGTTTTGGGGCTAGTGCATTTTCTATTTAATTTTACTGCCTAACAATTAACTAGTTATTGTCATCGTAAAATAGTCTTGATTCGGAATTTAAATTAGTAATTTTAGTCAACCTTATAAATCGTGGTGAGGGTGCTATGTTCCAAATAAACATGTAATATGGATTAAAGTCTAGACATTCCCCTAGAAATCAGCAATCTCAGAGTACTACTGAGTATCTATTTCTGAAATATATGTTGAACACAAAACTCTCTTTCTCCCTGCCTCCCTATGGTCAAAATGACTTTCAAAACTTTAAGTCAGCACATTCTGTAAATAAAACAAAAACGATTAAGAGCCCTATTCTCTGCAATCCATCTCCTCTTCTGCAATAAATCGAAAAAAAAAATAGTCTCTTGGAAATCCATTCTAAAACATAAAAGCATAAAGGCAAATCAACAAAATCCAAAGGAAAGCCATAAAGCCCAGAAGAGCACAAGATGTGGACTGAATCCTGGCTTTTTATTTGGCAATTTATTAACCTTTGAGCTTCAGGTGTTTCATAGCTAAGTGAGGATAGTAACACAACAGTCACTTCACAGAAGTTGCTGTAGGAATAAAATGAGGAAAATCTTGAGAAGAATGGACTGAACATGAACAGCCAGGACAGATATGAAACCAACCTGGTTTTTATTTTTTAAAGATTTATTTATTTATTTTGAAAGAGTGAGAATGAGAGAGAGAGAGAGAGAGAGAGCACATGAGAGGGGGGAGGGTTAGAGGGAGAAGCAGACTCCCTGCTGAGCAGGGAGCCCGATGCAGGACTCGATCCCGGGACTCCAGGATCCTGACCTGAGCCGAAGGCAGTCGCTTAACCAACTGAGCCACCCAGGCGCCCCGAAACCAACCTGGTTTTTAGAACATCTTATGGAGCTAAGGTAAAGAGAAAGCCAGCCCTGTGTGTTGTAAAAAATTGAGAACACAGAGACCAGAACCAGCCTCTGTTGAGGCCCTGTGTGCTTCAGGGGCCAGAAAAGACATTATTTGAGTGTTGGAGCCCGCTCAACTCTTCAAGTGGTCCTAGTACCTCCGTTTATCCTCTCCCCATCTCCAGATGGCCTAACATCCTTGCCCAAACTGTGCAAATCACTTTACACGCACTATTGCATTTAATCCTCAACAAGAGCTTTGGGCAGGAAGTGCTTTTAATCTCCTCACTTAACACATGAACAGACAGGCTCAGTGGTTAAATACCTTGCCCACAGTCACAGAGCTGTGACTGAGACAGAGCTGTTACTCAAACCCAGGTCAGAACCCAAGCTCCTTGTGTTGAATCTGGATAACCACAATGGGCAGATCAGAAAGCAGGGAGAACATTTTCAAGGGACGATCCTCAACAATTATTAATTTCTATCTTGAAATTGCATAAAAAGACAGCAGTCAAAAATCATGTGAAAATTATATGCAAAGTTAAATTTAGCCCTTAACATTTCATGTATTTAGATAGCGGTAACAATAAAATATACTACTTCACAACATGGCTATGAGGGATTTTCCTTCCATAATAGGCAATAGCCCTTTGCTCAAAGGGACTCAGGAGATAACACATTACCCTCACATGGCAACACATGGAGCAAAGCAGAACAAAGGCTACATTAACTTTTCGCTTGTTATTCTCATTCCTGATCATGGGAAATACAGTCATAAGTTAGAACTATTCATACCACATCTAACTTCCATCTCCCACCCCCAAAAAATTATTGGGTTGTGGGAGGGGGAATGGGAGGAAGGGGGTCAAAAGGTACAAACTTCTCCTTATAAGTTAATTAAATACTGGGGATATAATGTACAACATGAAGACTACAGTTAACACTAATGTATGGTATATTTGAAAGCTGATAAGAGGTAAATCCAAAAGGTCTCATCACAAAAAAAATTTTTTTTGGTATCTATAGGAGACGATGGCTGTTAACTAAAATTATTGTGGTGATCATGTCACACTATATAAGTCAAGTCATTATACTGTATACCTTAAACTTACACAGTGCTACATGTCAATTATTTCTCAATAAAACAGAAAAAAAATGCTTAATATAATGAGATTGGCCATTAGTTGGTAGTTATTGATGAGTAGTTACTGATAATATGGAGGTCCATGGTAGTGTTTTGTCTGCTTTTGTATATGTTTATAATTTTTCATAATACAATTTTTTCAGTTTAAAAACATGCGATAGACATGAGTTTTGTGTCTCATGGAGTTTAAATAAAACATGAGGCCTGTGTGTCTTACTACATAACTGTTATTAGCCATTGAATGTGTTGTAATAGCAACGGATGCAGAACAAACTCTGGGCCATTTCAACACTGATGTGATTTCATCTCATTTCAGCTACATAAGTTTTCAACTTCATAAAAATTAAAACTATATATAGGGAGGGGACTAGAGTAGAAATTAAAATAATTCGAAAGTGAAATCTAGTACCTTATAAAATGACAATCTAGATCACAAAGAAAATCATTTTGTCTAAGGCAGATAATATCAATAGTCAGGTTTATAAACATTATATTTTTATAATTTCCTACTTAATGCTGATACTTAACTTCAGGTCCATACACATTTTTTTCTGCTATAATTTTATTCGCTTGGATTTAAAAAGGTAAGCTTAACACACGCCACATAGAAACATAATGTAAAAGTAAAAAAATATACTTACTATGAAATCATCATAAAACAAAGTGTGACTGACTTGCAAATGTCTTATTAAACTGCCACTAAAGCTTCCTGGATTCTCATTAGGTAGTAAACGGCAAAGTGGACAGAACTGGAAATAAAGAAAATCAGGAGTTCAAGAAAGAATTTAAAATAATCAATGTCAGAATTAAAAAATTAAATAACCATTCAACAAGTGAATTTTAACTTTATGAATCTATTGGCCATTCCTCAGCATAACATTTAAAAACTGCATAAATATTAACCAAATAAAATTGCATTTATTTCTTCATATGCATTTGCTGTACTTAACAGTATAGCTATTTATTTCATATTTATCAATCTATTATTTAAACAATATTGCAGTTAGTAGATGTAGCATAATTTATTTAATCAGTTGCCTCCCTCTTGAAATACTTAATGGCTTTAAAAAATAACCTTTTTCATTTTCAAGTATTTATAAACTCATGAGAAATTACAAAAATAATGCAAGAGGTCCCATGACTCCATCATCCAGCTTCCCCAGTGGTAATACCTTATAACTGCAGTATATTATCGAAACCAAGAAATTGGCAATTAACTAGACTACAAGCCTTACTTAGATTTCACCAGTTTTTGCATGAACTCAGTTTTTTGGGTTTGTGTGTAACATATACCCCTAAAGTAGTATATGATAAAGAGTTGGGGCACCTGGTGGCTCAGTTGGTTAACTGTCTGCCTTCAGCTCAGGTCATGATCTCAGGGTCCTGGGATCGAGCCCCATGTCGGGCTCCTTGCTTGGTGGGGAGTCCGCTTCTCCCTCTCCCTCTCCCTTTGCCCCTACCCCCAATGCACGTGTGCTCTCCCTCTCAAATAAAATCTTTAAAAAAAAATACACTACTTTATTACATTTTTTTTTACTGCTTTATTATAATTTATCCTAGGGTTTTTTATTTTTTATTTATTTTAAAGATTTTATTTATTTATTTGAGAGAGAGAGAGAGAATGAGAGATAGAAAGCACGAAGGGAAGAGGGTCAGAGGGAGAAGCAGACTCCCTGCCGAGCAGGAAGTCCGATGTGGGACTGGATCCCGGGACTCCAGGATCATGACCTGAGCCGAAGGCAGTCGCTTAACCAACTGAGCCACCCAGGCGCCCTATCCTAGGGTTTTTTAAAATTCTATTTCTTCACATTTTCATTTTTTAAAATATGAGATGCAGAATCATTACTGAGGGCCAGGTATGTGTTAGGCATTAAATTAGGTAGTATTCTTATTTGATCCTCACAACAACCTAGTGAATTAATTATTGTCCTGTTTCTTTCATGAACTCAATTTCAGAAAGGAAAAAAAATTTAGCTTAAATTTATACCACTGTAAGTATCAGAACTGGGATCTAGGCCTCCTAATAGATAATTCGATTTTCTTTTCATATTATAACAGTGCTTAATTTGTCTGTTTGGGTGGTAACATCTTGCTTTAAATTTAAATGAGGTCTTTATGTAATTCTTATTGTTTGGGGGGGGGTCTCAGTTTCAGTATGCTCAATATTTATACATAGTTTAACTTCTGAATTTTGCTCTAGTCCATTATTATGTGTCTTATTTTTAATAAAATTACATCATTTCAGTTATTATCGCTTGATAGTCATTTATGATTTTCTAATGCTCTAGCTATCTTGGTTACTTGGCAACACTGGCTATCCCAAGATAGACCCCTATGTAGTAATGAGAACACAGCTGAGACCAAGAAATACTTTAACAAAAAAGCAACATTAATTTTTTTGTTATGTGAAAGAAGGGACACTAGTTATAGAAATTTGTTCATTCAGTACTCTTTACAGTACCCCTACTATGTGTTGGGCGCCTGGAATATGCAAACCAGTGAAGATACAGTTGTGTTGCATGGCCTGTGAAATCGGGGAGCTTTCAAATCCCAGCACCAGCTCTACCGAGCTGTGTGACTGACCTTCAGCACATGAACTTCTCTCTTCGGTCAAGTGGAGATACCACCACCTAACTTGTAGAGTAGCTATGACGTTTAGAGAGAATGTCCTCCATGTGCCAGGTACATACTAGGCATTTAATAAACACCATGTATTTACTACTATTTGATCCTTGTTCGTGAATAGTTGGAGCTCCATGAGGAAGAAACTCCACGTGTCCTGTTCGCTCCTGCATGCCCAAGTACCTGGAAAATAGTTTCCAATTTCATCTCTGCCTCTCACTGACTTAGCCTTGGCAAGTAATTAATCTTATCCTACAAAATGAGAATTAGCTCATTTGCAGAGCTGTCTGTATATTTAAAAGGTGTCATTTAACATTATGAAGCTCAGTCATTATACTAGCTCAGTCCTTGGCACAAATGATAAATGGTTGCTATTGTTATCACGTAAGCAGATACTTTCAATACTGCAAAGCAAGTGCTATACCCAAGATGTTACACCATATAGTCAAGTGTTATACTCAAAAAGGCAGTTCAAGACCTAAAAAGGAAATCATTAATTTTGCCCAGGAAATCAGGAGAGGCTTCAGCCAAGCTGCCGGTAACTGAAATGAGTCTTGAAGAAGGCGCCAGCAAATGCCAGAGTGAGGAGCATCACAGGCAGAGAAGTCAATGCATAAAGGACAGGCCTGCTTAGGGAATGGGAAAAGCTCTGGGAAGCTGAAGGTAGGGCATGTTGAGGGAAGTGGCAGGAGATGAGTTTGCAAGGGTTAAGTTGGGACCAGTTCTGCTCAATAGATATTTATTTGAGCACCTATTATGGCTTCTGTAGGCCCCATGTCAAGAGTCAGAGGTACAGAGATGCTAAGCCCTGACCCAACGATGAAGGAGATTCCAGATCTAGTGAAGGAGAAAGATACAGAAAACCTGGAACTTTAAGCAAAGTAGTTTTTGTTTTTAGTCTGATGTTGAAAGGAGCTAGTGGAGACTTCGGTCTTCTGCTGTACATATTTAGTTGTGTAACTCAAGAGATTTCTTCCAGAAGGACATTGGAAAACAAAGGTGAACATCTATACTACTCTAAGGATTTATTTTGTGTCCTAAAGTGAGGGATCTGACCTGAGGGAGGAGAGGGTAAGAATAGGAAGGAGAAAGAAATGGTAAGAGGCTGACTAATCATCGCCAAGTACCTAAGTGTTCACCTATACTCTCACTAACGTTGCCAATTTGCTAACATCAGCTCATCCTTTATTATGCACCTCCACTCAGTGCTCCCAGGCCATGATACTCATATTAGGAATCAATCAATGCACAGTGTATATTCAAAAGATGCTGACCTCATCTCAGTATGGACTTTATCTGATGGTGAACTCCACAGGTGAAAACAAGCCACCATATCAGAAGTTACCACCAACTTCAATCCTTCAGAACACCTATTACAAGGGACACCCAGTTCTATCTGTGGTTTAGATTAACCTCCACAGCAACTATCTGATGGCAAGTGCCATTTGGGAAAGAAATTTAAAATTCCTGAATCCAAAAAAAGAGAAAAGAGACATGCACTGAAAATAATTACAGGCAAAAATGTAACCAAAATTAAGGTACCAGATTGCACATCTAATTTAGCAAGAGTCTGAAAGCAAATTTAATAAAGATTTTTTCCTTCCTTCCAAAACATTTATGCACATACACTCCCACTGCCCAGTCGAGTCACAGATATTCTAAATACCCACAGAAATAAACCACTGTGGCGCAGGTGGCTCAGGCTCTAGTCACCACAGTTTATGTTCCAAACCAATAAAAGTCCTGTCCCTTCCCTTAAGGAATGAATCTCGGAAGCAAGGCAGAAAGTAAGAGACTACTGGAACCTTTGAATCTGGGTGAATGGAATTATGTTTTCCTTTAATATCTTATTTTTCATAATCACTATATCCTCCTATGCGCTAGGTTCTCTGCCAAGAGGTGGGCAGGCAGCGTTGAACAAAGAAGTTCCATGACTTCGGGACCCTGGTACCTTACAGGGAGAGACAGACCTGAAACGAACACACAATTACAAATGGTGATAAATGAGAAAAAAAGAGGGGAGGAAAGCAAGAGCTGAAAGTAATTTGGATGTCAGGGAGGGATTCCCTGAGGAAGAAAGATTTAAGCAGAGTTCTAAAGGATAAATATGAGCCAACCACTGAAAGAAAGAGCACTCTGGGCGGAGAGAATAGCCAGAAAGTGTGGCTTTTGCTGAAACATCTTCCTTTTCCAAAACAAAATACCAAATTTCTCTCAAAAGTGGTCTCTCAATTCAATCTGAAGCATGCTGCTTATGTCACTGGACTCCTTTGAGTTTAATATTCCACAGAGGCAAATTTTCAAAAAATAAAACATGGCAGGGGTGCCTAGGTGGCTCAGTTGGTTAAGCCTCCAACTCCCAGTTTCAGCTCAGGTCATGATCTCAGGATCTTGGGATCAAGCCCCGTGCTGTGTAGGCTCGGAGCTCAGGGAGGAGTCTGCTTCTCTGCCTCTCTCTCCTCCCTCTCCCTCTGCCTGCCCCTCCCCCCTGCTCCCACAAGTGCTCTCTCTCTCTAAAATAAAAAATACAACATGGCAGAATATAATTACTATGTGACAAAAAGGAGCTGTCGGTTCTTAAAGCTGCATGTAAGAAAAGTCACAATTTCTTGATGTTCTTAATCTACTACCCCAGTCTTGAGCAACTCGGAAAGAAAAGATTAGTGGCTTGTGGTTCGATTTCTGAATTATCTAATTTTATCTAGAAGGCAGAATCATTTGCTCAAATCTCTAACTGCTGAAACTTCTTACACCAGATTAAGTCAGATGAGGTCACTGATCTTATCTGAAAGCAAACCCAACAACCCAGCCCCTCAAAGCAATAATTCCTTGCTAACTTCCACACCAACCCAGAATCAGCCTTGGACTTAGGACTTCTCCTGGGGTATTTTCACCAGCATGCCCCCACTGGGGGATTCCTAAGCACGTGAACCCCAAATATGCCACAGTATCTACTTCCTGCCGTTTCATAACCAAAGCGTATATCCGGAATTCCAGTGGTTCTAGATCCTTCAGAGCGACACATGGCTCGAGTTTCTACTCAAGCATGAAACATTAACAGGAAAACTGAAGGTCTTCTGCTCTAGAGACCACCTACAGACAGCCCTCATGTATTACAGAACCACGGATTTTGTGAACAATCTGCTCCTGCCTCAAGGCCACGATAGCATCCTGGTCTTTGGAAATTCACCACTTCACTCCCCAACCCTTCTGGCTTGGGTTCCCCAACTGTGAGAGTACATGGCTTCCTCAAAATCTCCACTAGCTTGGTTTTATGTAGTTGCAAAAATGGTAGTAGCCCACCATTATCACCTGACTCATTTACTGCTACCTTGTGAAAATGGGATCATTATTACCATCCCCATTTTACAAATGATGAAACAGAGGCAAAGACATTGGTGGGATTTGCTGGGATTGGTACCAAAGTTCATCTCCTCCAAAGCCTAGGTTTTTGACTATTAATTCCATGGGCAATCTGATCCCACCATTCCTGGTTTATTTCTGCCCTTAGATCCACTTTCTTCAGTTCCTTCTATTACCTCTAAATCAAGGAAGACCTAGCTTCCACGAGCCACCTTCAATCTGATGGCCAAACTGAGCAGCATGGGGACTGGATTTCTGCTGGAGCAGGGACACAGTACCAGTGGACAGACCAGTACATGACCTGCCCCAGAATGCTGCTATGATGCAGCCCAAGACCATGGTCCAAAGCACCTGGTGTTCCTCCAGCCAGAGCAGCACTGGGTACTGTGGTTAGGGCTCAGGTTGTATGGATAATACCCTCTTACGGTTGCTAGGAGACAAAGAAGCACTTAGAACTGGGTAAATGGTCGCTACTATTATGCCATCCTAACTCTTCCTTCTAACTTCCTCTAGCTCCCTAGGGACCTAATATAAAACAGCTCCATAGCCCAGTTCCTCCCACAGAACAACTAGAGCAGTAAAGGCCCATGATAATCTCCCCTGCTCTCCCAACACATATCAAGCCATTCCAAGAACCAAAACCCCTAAACCATTAAGATCAATAACAAATACTTTGACTCTACTGTGTGGCTTCTCTTGTGAACCTGCTAGTAGAGCACAGGGGTCCACCATGCTCTGGAGCTAGACTATTGTGTTCAAATTGTGGCTCAGCTACTTAACAGTTGGTGACCTTACAAGACTTGGGTAACCTCTCTGAGCCTCAATTTATTATTTGTATAATGGAAGTGATCACACCTATCTTCTATGATTGTTATAAGAATTATCCTTGTTTGTAAATATCTATCATCTATCTATCCAATATAACTACGTTTCAATCTCATCACTTTCCAAGAGGATTTTATAGAAAAAAAAAAAAAAACCTTAAAACTCAAATTTAAAAAACCAAAACTCCTGGGTCTGCCTGGGTGGCTCAGTTGGTTAAGCGTCTGCCTTCAGCTCAGGTCATGATCCCAGGGTCCTCGGATCGAGCCCCGCATCAGGCTCCTGGCTCAGCAGGGAGCCTGCTTCTCCCTCTGCCTCTGCCTCTCCCCCTGCTCATGCTCTCTCTCTCTCTCTCTCTCTGTGTCTCAAATGAATAAATAAAATCTTAAAACAAAACAAAACAAAAAAAACACACCAAAACTCCTATCTATATAAACGACACGCATACACATATATTTGTGTATATAAATATATACACACACACATACATATATAAAAATATATACATATACATATTTATACCATAAAACGAAAATAAAATTCAGAACAATCTTCGAGGTATCATTTTATATCTGCTAAGCCTTCTACTTTAATTTTAAAATAAATGCACCCAATATTAGCCAGGTTAAGGTGAAAGTGGTTTACTCCTAAATTGCGGACACAAATATAAATTGACTTAACCTTTTTGGAATGCATTTAGAAGTATATTTCAAGAGCTGTTAAAAAGTTTGCACTGGGCGCCTGGGTGGCTCAGTCGTTGAGTGTCTGCCTTCGGCTCAGGTCATGATCCCAGGGCCCTCGGATAGAGCCCCACATCGGGCTCCCTGCTCCGTGGGAAGCCTGCTTCTCCCTCTCCCACTCCCCCTGCTTGTGTTCCCTCTCTCGCTGTGTCTCTCTTTGTCAAATAAATAAATAAAATCTTTAGCACTTTTTGGTCCCAGAAGATAAATCTAAGGAATTTCCTCTTAGGAAAAAATCCAATAGAAGGAAAAGTTCAAATGTACAATATGAATTCAAATCCTAAAATTGGTAACAAGTGTACAAAAAATAGTAAAAGGGCTAAGTAAATGAGGATGTACCCAGCACCACCCTGCTTTCCCTCACAACTATACAAAAAATGAAAATTATCAAAGCCACACGGCAAAGTAGAACTAAAATGCCAGGCTGAAAAGAATAAAAAAAGGAAGCATCACAGTGAACCTAGGAAATGATGAGCAATATGTGTATTTAATGTGCAAGCATATGGATAAATACTCAGACTATGAAATAAACAATAGAATGAATAAGATGAATAACTTTCTACTTTTCATTTCTAGTAAATTGTCATGATAATCCTATTTGCATTATTAAAAAATGTTTTTTACTTAGGATGTGACCACAGTTAGTATGCTAGAGTTGGATCTTAGCTATGTGTTTTGGATCTTCTTAGTTGATTATGCCCATAATTATGTGTAAGAGAGAATGTCTAAGTTCATAAATGAAAGAATGCACATTAGTAATTCTTAGCACTTTCCAATTCAACACTTTCACATATTGTTAATAGTCACGGAATTATCACAACCTTGACATAAACTATCCTTTATAACATATCTATGAATAGAAGCCTATTAAATGGATTTCTAGTGTATATTAAATGCAGACACTGCAGAAATAGTAACGAAATTGCTTACCACAGATCTCCTTTCTGATCTGTGATGAGTAATGCAGTGATCCAGCAAGCTGTCTTCATCCAATTCCCTCTGACAAAATGGACACACACACCTGGAAATTGCATAGAATACAAAAATTACTAAAGTTGTTGGCATTTAACTAGAGGTAAAAAATAGAATGTAGGCAGATCTAGTTCCCAGCCCTCGTTTTTCCTGATTTGACATTATTTTTCCATCCTGATAATGGTCAGATGAGAAAGTAAGTATCCTCATAGGGATACGGCAGAGAAAAGTAAGTATCCTTATAGGGACACAGCAGAGAAACAGTTATATATAATGAACACGAAGCACTTTATTCTCTTTGGAAAAGAAGTGCAATCTGAGCACCCATTAACTGAGAAACTGGGGGATCACATCACCCAGCTATCCCTGGGTTACTTTTTCCTGTTTCTTTTTCTTTCCCGCTTTCCTAATTCAGGTCCCATAACTGGATGTTACGTGTTCTCCAACTCCACCACCATAGGTAACTACTGGTATATCTAAGGAGTATTTGTCCCTTATGTTGTGCTGTCCACTACAGGAGCTAGGAGCCATATATGTCTACTGGCACTTGGAACGTGGCTACTGAAATTGAGTTATGCTGGAAGTACAAAATGCACACTGGGTTTCAAAGGCTTAATATTTAAAAAAAAAGTGAAATATCTGAATAATGTTGATATCGATTACATGTTCAAATAATAATATTTAAGCTAGCTTCAGTTAAATAAAATATACTAAAAATTAATTTCACTGTTTCTTTTTACTTTTTTAGTGTGGCTATGAGAAAATATAAAATTACCTATGTCTTCTATTGGACAGTGCTGCCCTTAAACTCATAGGGACAATATGGAGGCTTGGAATATTTTGCTCACTTTTTTTTTTTAATTTATTTGACAGAGAGAGAGAGACAGTGAGAGAGGGAACACAAGCAGGGGGAGTGAGAGAGGGAGAAGCAGGCCTCCTGCCGAGCGGGGAGCCCAATGCGGGGCTCGATCCCAGGACCCTGGGATCATGACCTGAGCTGAAGGCAGTTGCTTAACGACTGAGCCACCCAGGCGCCCCTTTTGCTCACTTTCTATCATAGATACAACTTCCTGTTCCCTGACACTTGTACTCCAGATAAGCTCCCTGTATAAGAATTTTAAAAATTTCAGACAAACCATGAGAGATGATGGACTCTGAAAAACAAACTGAGGGTTCTAGAGGGGAGGGGGGGAGGGGGAATGGGTTAGCCTGGTGATGGGTATTGAGGAGGGCACGTTCTGCATGGAGCACTGGGTGTTATGAACAAACAATGAATCATGGAACACTGCACCAAAAACTAATGATGTAATATATGGTGATTAACATAACAATAAAAAAATTTTAAAAAAAAAGAATTTTAAAAATTTCAATTATGTAGTAATAAGTTCTTTTATAAAGCAAAGATTTCTATCTTAAATGCAAATATCAATCTATCCTGTAAGATTGATTAATCAACAACACTCCTCATTTTGTTATTTTAATTCTTTATTATTTAATTCTAATTATTTAATTTAAATTAGCTCGCATATATTTTTAAATTTTCATAAAGCCTATCAACCTTGCAGTCAAACCCATACCTTTTTTTAACCCATTTATTATCCTTCCTTCTTACTGGTCCTTGCAGCCAATCTAACAGAATTCATACTCTGTTTTGAGCTAAAATCCTCATTTAAAATTTATAACATCAAGGTATAAAACTGATCCTACAATAATGGATACATCTGCAAAGCAATATCTAGTAAAACAAAAGGAAGCAGGGCAATCATTTAGACTTCAGGTTAGGAAATTTAAGCTTTGAGTGTATTTTCTTAAAATAAGTAAGACTAACATTTTCCTTCAGGATAGAGAAAAAATATCACACTCTTACGGAATACCACTAATGGTTTCCAAGCCATTAGCCTATGCAGGGAAACACAAATCATTTCCTTATTTTGTTGGGAGGGAGAGACTCCAAACTTTGGAATTACAGGATAGGTCATGCCCAGATTCATTTCATTTTTTTTTTTTTTTAGGGAACAACAAATAATGGTCAATATTCTCCATTGCCCCTACTACTACCTCCACCCTTCCTCCAGCCCCATAAAACATAACCCACCAAAAATGTATCGGGTTTAGGATGCCTGGCCCAGGCCTGTTCTTCCTTGTTAGACTATATACTGAGATGTCACTTCCTACCTTCTAAAGCCAAACCAGCAAAACCAGAGGAAATGAGCTGGGGCACTGAGCAGTGGCAGTGGAAGGGTGAAAAAGAAGAGGCTCTGAACCAGGACCTACTTCAAGCCATTAGTCAGAAAGCAGAGCCTTGCAGAACTTGAACAGTTCCACATTCTATTTTTGGATGTTCCTTAATACAAACTTGTCTGGGCAAGTTCTCCCAATCTCTCCAATACTCGGTTCCCCTTATGCAACGTTTTTCAAGTAGAGAAAGCAAAATTCTTTCATAATTATTGCCATTAACAAATGACTACCAATAAATAGGTGTTATGGTTCAGAGCCTGAACAGAACTCCATACGTATTTTCACAATAAGAAGGTTAACCTTTCCAGCCTATTAACTTCTTTACAGGCATATCAAGTTTAACATTCAATTACATTGTGTCGAAACAAACCTGGTTGCCGTCTCCCCAAGTTCCTGCAGCGGTCCATACTTATCTATATACTTCTCACAAGATCTTATGTGTGCCCTCATTTCGCTGAGGCAAACCTATATAAAAGCAAATTCAAAATAAAGTCCCTGTTGAAAAGGGCTCAATGAAGTCTTATGTGATCCAGCTTTATTACTTTCATTATTGCAAATAAGGTCATAGCAATGGGTCAGCTGATTAAAAGGATATATTCATGACAAGAGTACAACAAAGTTAAGGCATTATCAAGAATAACACTTTACAAATGTCTCTAATACTTAGAAGACACAAATGTTGAGTTCTTGAGTTTGTTCTTCTAGAAAGCATATATTTTTTATTTTACTTTTATTTTTTAAATATTTATTTACTTATTTATTTGAGAGAGAGAGTGAGCACACACGCGTGCGAGTGAGTAAGGGGAAGGGCAAAGGGAGAGGAGAGAGAATCCTCAAGCCGACTCCATGCTGAGTGCAGAGCCTGATGCAGGACTCGATTCCAGGACCCTGAGATCATGACCTGAGCCAAAATCACGAGTCAGATGCTTAACCAACTGAGCCACCCAGGCGCCCCTAGAAAGCGTATGTTTTTTTAAAGTGGAAAGACAGGGTGCCTAGGTGGCTCAGTCATTGGGCGTCTGCCTTCAGCTCAGGTCATGATCCCAGGGTCCTGGTATAGAGTCCTGCGTTGAGCTTCCTGCTCAGCGGGGAGCCTGCTTCTCCCTCTCCCTCTGCCCCTCCCCTCTGCTTGTGCTCTCTTCAAATAAAGAAATAAAATCTTTAACAACAACAACAACAAATAAAGTGGAAAGACATATTAACTCAAATTTACTTTTTTTGGACACCATTACCTAACCTGGTGATGGTAAGAAGTGAGAAAGATAAACGGGAGAGGAAAGAGTGCAACCAAGATGGAGGGGAAAAAAAAAACGTGAGAAGAGACAGAGGGAAAGGAAAAGAGAGATAAAAAGAACCAATAGATGGATTTTAATTTTAAAGATGGCCATAGTAAGTAAAAGGAAATCCTGTGCCTCAGGGAAAGATATAAATACCATGGTTTTATAATATATCCAGCAGTATTAAATGAATCCACAATACACAGTATACTTAATGGCCCCATTAAGAGCAAACATAAAAGACAGCTCTTAACAGTCCATTTTTACCAAGGCAGAATAAAGAGCCCTTGTTCCTCAGGATATACATTCAGAGATCCTAACCATGAGGGATCTGTGGCTAAATAACACATATGCTACTAAATATTTCATTAGAAACTCTGATAAGATCTTGCTAAAGGAAGCTTTGTATAGCTGTGGTAAGGTGGTCGACCCACGCTGCTTCGTTTTGCTCAAGCTACGGAAGTTAAACCTCAAACATGAAATCTACCCGGTCAAGGAAACTGTTATGATTGCTTAACAAAGGACAAAAATAAAAGCAAGTGGAAAAGTGAAAACAAATCCGTTTTACCAATATCCACCTAGGACCCATCGAGGTAGCTGTCTTAAAACACACTGTTTTCCCAAGCTTTCCTATCCAACTTTGCACATCAATTCTCTCACATCTCTTTATTACTTTTCTTAAAAGTTTCTTTCTTCCTCTTTGTATTCCTTGAACAACAAAGATAAGCATTCTTTTTCTTTTTTCTGAAGATTTTATTTATTTATTTGACAGAGAGAGAGACACAGTGAGAGAGGGAACACAAGCAGGGGGGCATGGGAGAGGGAGAGGCAGGCTCCCCGCTGAGCTGGGAGCCCAATGTGGGGCTCGATCCCGGGACCCTGGGATCATGACCTGAACCGGAGGCAGACGCTTAACGTCTGAGCCACCCAGGCGCCCCAAAGATAAGCATTCTTGATACAAATTAGAAATCTGGGAACTGTATACTGACAAATGAATTGATAAATTCATGGAGTGTCTAGACACAAAATTATGTAAGACACTGTGAGAGATGGCAGAAGAAACATAAGCCACTGTGCTTGCTCTAAAGATGCTTATCATCTAACAGAGGGGGGACAAAAACCACACCTGGACAAGTAGATATGAAACTGTGATACTAAGGCCGGGCCTCGTGGAATGGAGATCCGGCTGGGACTCTGAAGAGTAAGACTCTCCTTATTCTTGGAGGATATGGCAATAGTCCTGGCAAGAGGAATAACATAAAAAGGAAGAGACAGATATAAGAAATACCTCAAAGGAAAAATCGAAATATTTGTGAATGATCAGGGTTAAAAAAGGAAGGGGATTTCTAGCCGGGAAAATTGAGAGAATGTTCGCGTTTCTGACAGACACCAAAGGTGGGATAAAAAAAAAACAAACTGGATGACAGAATACTAGGGTGAGTTTGATTTTGTGCATGTTGAATTTTATATGATGACAAAAAATATCAAAGTAAAAATAAGTAATAATCTATTATTAGGAATGTAAAAAGCTATTATTCTGCACATTTGCCATGTTCCAGACAGTGCCAAAAGCCATATATATTTTATCATTTTCCCTTACAACTATTCACCATTCTGTGACATGAATGCTATCTTTTTCCTCATTTTACAAAAACATGAACAAAAACTTAGATAATAACGTCCCCACATCACAAATAATGAGTGAGAGAATTCACATGTAATCCCAGGAAGTCTGACTCCAAAGACCATGCATAAATTTTGTAGTCAGACAGCCATGAGTAGGTTCTTGAGTCTTAAATATTCAAAAAATATATTAAGCACTAACTATGTGCCAGTCACTTCAAAGTGCTGGGTACACACACAGTTGCCAATAAAACAGACATAGTCCTTAACCTGACGGAACTTAACTGTGGTGGGGATAATTGACATACATTTAAAAATCACAAAAGCAGGGCGCCTGGGTGGCTCAGTTGGTTAAGCGTCTGCCTTCGGCTCAGGTCATGATCCTGGAGTCCCGGGATCGGGTCCCGCATCGGGCTCCCTGCTGATCAGGGAGTCGGCTTCTCCCTCTGACCCTCCCCTCTCTCATGTGCTCTCTCTCTCACTCTCTCTCTCAAATAAATAAAATCTTTAAAAAAAAAATCACAAAAGCGTAATTCCAAACGGTGATAAATAGTACAAAGAGGGTACAAAGCACAGGGTACTCAGAAAGCGTAACAGGCTGTAATGTAGATTAACAATCAAGAAAGGTTCTCTAAAAAAATTCAGACCCTTAACACATAATCTCTCCTTTGATTACTCTGGACTCTGTATAATAGTATCTTCCCCTTAGCAGTTCAAATGTTAACATATTTATTTATTTATTTTCTTAAGATTTTATTTATTTATTCATGAGAGACAGAGAGAGAGAGAGGAGAGAGAGAGGCAGGGGGAGAAGCAGGCTCCCCATTGAGCAGGGAGCCCGATGCGGGACTCGACCTGAGCCGAAGGCAGACGCTTAACCATCTGAGCCACCCAGGCGCCCAAACGTTAACATATTTAAAACTTTGTGGATTCTTCTCCAAATCCGCTCCCCGTATCAGCACCTTCACCTGCACCTACACACGTCAGAAACCCAGGAGGTATTTTTGACACTTTATACTCTCATTCAGCTCCACATCCAGTCTGTTACCAATTTCCTTCAATTCGCTCTCCTAAGTGCCCCTTGAAACAACCTGTTTTTTCTTTTAATGTTTTTTTTAAGATTTTTTATTTATTTATTTGAGAGAGAGAGAATGAGAGATAGAGAGCATGAGAGGGAAGAGGGTCAGAGGGAGAAGCAGACTCCCTGCCGAGCAGGGAGCCTGATGTGGGACTCGATCCCACGACTCCAGGGTCATGACCTGAGCCGAAGGCAGTCGCTTAACCAACTGAGCCACCCAGGCGCCCTTGAAACAACCTGTTATTCTCTGTCTAACGCTGTCACCCTAATCCAGCTTCCTTACCTGACCCATCGCAATAGCCACTGAATTGGCTCCACCAACCCTGCTCTAGCCCCCTACAAGCCATTCTCCACTCACACGAGAGAGCAGTTATCTTAAAAATATAAACCCGATCTGGGGCGCCTGGGTGGCTTAGATGGTTAAGCATCTGCCTTTGGATCAGGTCATGATCCCAGGACCCTGGGATCGAGCCCCGTATCGTGCTCCCTGCTCAGCAAGGAAGTCTGCTTCTCCCTCTCCCTCAGCCCCTCCCCCCCCAGCTGGTGTGCTCTCGCAAATAAATAAATAAAATCTTTAAAAATAGATATATAACAAATGATGTAATATATGGTGATTAACATAACAATAAAAAATTTAAAAAAATAGATATATAAACCCGATCAAAAGAGTACACTCTTTCCATGACTCCCTATTGCGTTTAGGATAAAATCTAGACTCTTTTCCATGGCCGGCAAGACTTCACATGATCTAACCAGGCTAGTACAGCATCAAAGGAGGAAACCTGCCACAAGGGGGACAGGGTCACCTGACAGAAATACTGCGAAGTCCAGAATACAGGAGGAATTATGCCACTGGATTTAATAATAAAGCTATTATTCATGGGTGGGCTGCAAGAGTAGCGGGAATGGAGGCCACATAATGGGGGGGCGTGGTCACGGGAGTGATGGGAAGGGACGCGAGGGAGGTGGTCGGTGAAAGCATTTGTCTGAAAAATGAGACAGCAGGAGTCGGGTGCCAAGTTCACAACAGCATACACAGAGGAAATTGGAGAAAAGGCAGGGGAGAGGCGGGACAGTAAACTTCAGAAAGACCGGGCAGGATGAAGTCAGAGGCACAGGTGAAATGATTGGCCGCCTGACAACTTTCTCGGCCGGCTAAGCCAGTAACCGTGAGCACAGAGAGAGGGCCACATACCGGGGTGTCACACTCGGTGCAGTTCTGGTACTCAGATTTCATTCTTTTGGCTACATCGGTGGCTGGAACTCCTTCTGAAGGAAGATAGGCCCGGCAATAAGGACAGGTCCATTTATTGTTCTTCAGACTGGTGGCGATACAGGAACGGCAGAATCTGCCCCAACCAAACCAAGAATACGTTATTTTCCTTTAAGGTATAAGGGAGCCAGCACTGTGTGTCCCTCTGTGTAAAGTGTATTTTAATGACACCTTGTACACTAGGAGCTGGCTGTACTGCCAAGTTGAAAGTGCATTTGCATCCTCTACTTGGCAGAGAGCTTCTTACCTTCCCAGTAAGACTGCTTTGGAGTCACACGTTCTCACTACACTCACTGCGTGCATTTGAACAGAGGGCACAAAGTGATGAAAAGAGTATTCCTATAAGCCGAATTAAAACTATAACCCAAAGGACAGCTAATGTGTTCTTTCTTTTCTCTAATCCTATTTTACCCCAAATGTGGGGTGGGGGGGGGAATAGGTCTTTGCTCTGTGTGATTTTGTATGTGAGATAAGAAAATAGCAAGAAATCCAGGAGGCAAAATACCATGCACGTGATCAGCCTTACAAAATAATTTTAATGTCATCCCCAGGTATAGAAAATTATCTAATCAAAATGAGCACCATTAGGAATGTCCTCCAGGTCAAGAAATTTATTCTCTGGCTTATTTAAAGATGATCATAATAAAATCTTAACATAATCAATAGAATTCACAGAAAATCTGGACCTATTTATAGGAGCTGTTGAAGACTAAGTACACACAAAAGTAAAAATGACATTTAGATAAGTTATACACATTAGCGTGGCCTGATAGCTCTTAAAGTGCTCACCATATACTATCTATTTGGGAATATTAATTTATGGCAAAAGTTAAGCTTTTTAAAATTTAAATATACTGGGGCGCCTGGGTGGCTTAGTCGGCTAAACGTCTGCCTTTGGCTTAGGTCATGATCTCAGGGTCCCGGGATCGAGTCCCACATTGAGCTCCATGCTCAGCAGGGAGTCTGCTTCTCCCTCTCCCTCTGCCCCTTCCCACCCCTTGCTCTCTTTCTCTCTCTGTCTCAAATAAATAAATAAAATCTTTTTTAAAAATTTAAATATATATATGTGTAGAAAAGTTCACATATCATAGGTATAGAGTTCATTGAAATTTCCCAAACTGAACTCTCAATTATATTAGCCATGACTGATGCTTAAAAGAACTCTCTTCTGCATCTGTTACAAAATTCTTATATACACAGAGGATGCTGACACCTGCATTGTTCTTGAGGCATCTGCTTGATGTTTATGCCGGTCCAGCGTCCACTTCCTCTTGCAAATAGCACCCTGATTTCACTCTGCAGGAACTACACCTCTTATATGAGATACAATCTGGTGGGACCTCAGTCAAGGTGCCCACAATCCCCTGTTGAAGACAAGATCTGAGTCCTATGCTGTATTTCACTTCTCTGTCCTTCAAGTGATTACCTGCAAGTTCCAAGACCCAATCTGCCCTTGCACTTCTTTGAGTCCCTAAGAAGTGGTTCTCAGAGTGTAGTCTTTTTTTTTTTTAAAGATTTTATTTATTTATTTGAGAGAGAGAATGAGATAGAGAGCGAGCATGAGAGGGGAGAGGGTCAGAGGGAGAAGCAGACTCTCTGCTGAGCAGGGAGCCCGATGCAGGACTCGATCCCGGGACTCCAGGATCATGACCTGAGCCGAAGGCAGTCGCTCAACCAACTGAGCCACCCAGGCGCCCCAGAGTGTAGTCTTGAAGGGTATTTATTACAAGTGGTCCAAATGGTCAAGCTGTAATCCTCATACAACACTTAGGGTTCTGACATGAATTATTCACTCACATGATTTAGGAGCAAGCAGATGATACTTTGCTATCTCGGTCAACAAAAGTCTTCCCCTTTCCTCACAACTTACTCGAGTTTTATACCAATACAAACAGAAGACGAATATTGGTGTTGAGCCCTGTGGTGGGCACTGATTGACATGCTCTTGTTTAGCTCTCAGAGTAATCCTAACATGCTGCTCTGCTCTCTCCTCCCTTGACTGGAGGCAAACAGAGGTTCAGAGACATGTAACAACTTGCCGAATTTACACAGCCTGAAGACAGTAGTACTTTGCACCTCAAACGGTTTTGGAAGGAGCTCAAAGTATGCGTGTAAGGTCCCCAATTACCCCAATGGTTCCACTTATTATTTTTTGACTTTACAGTGATGTAAAAGCAATACTCATTCAGGAGAAAATATACTTCAAATTTTGAATTTTGAGCTTTTCCCGGTAGGCAGGAAATCCTCTCCTTGCTGCGCTGGGCAGCTCCCAGTCAGCGATGCAGATAAACAACTGATACACTTAACAATCGTTCTGTACCCAGACAACCATTCTGTTGTCCACTTTCAGTACAGCATTCAATAAATGACACAAAATATTCAACACTTTTATTACATAATAGGCTTTGTGTTAGATGATTTTGCCTAACTGTGAGCTAATGTAAGTGTTCTGAGCATATTTAAGGCAGACTAACTAAGCTATGATGTTTGGTAGGTTAGGTGTACTAAATGCATTTTGACTTACCTTTTAGGATGGATTTATTGGGACATAACCCCACTGAGTAAAGAAAGATCTGTAGTCCTTTTTAAGTCACCTCAATTCCTCCCAGTGACAAACAGAAGCAGCAAAACTATAAAACTGTGGATGTACCTGTATAAACCAGCCAACTTTGCACAGAGTACATTTCTACTGTCATTTTGTAGTGCTTTTGCATTTACAACTGATAACTATAACAATGGAAATGCCTAGTAGATATACATGAAAAGTAGCACATTTAAGGCATTTAAAAAAAAATCAAGTCCTTCACTGTAACTCCCTTATGTTTGCACAATGATGTTACATGTGGCATGAAACTCTCAAATGAGCATTAGACAGACATTATTGCATTCTATGAGAATATTAGTTGCAAATCACATAGATCAATTAGCTGTACCCATTTTAACAAAAGTAATTATTAAATGGAGAAAACACATCAAGACTAAGGTGTTTTGGGACAGACCGAACTTGCTGGTTATGAGTACATAAAAACCATGATTTTTTAAAGTGTTACCAATAAGGAGAGGAATGGATGCTACTGCAGCTTAAGTCTCGCTTTTCGGGGTGCAGAAATAAGATTGCAGAACGGCTTAGTTCAAAAATATCTGAAGGCGCCTGGGTGGCTCAGTTGGTTAGGCGACTGCCTTCAGCTCAGGTCATGATCCTGGAGTCCCGGGATCGAGTCCCACATCGGGCTCCCTGCTCAGCAGGGAGTCTGCTTCTCCCTCTGACCCTCTTCCCTCCCGTGCTCTCTATCTCTCATTCTCTCTCTCTCAAATAAATAAATAAAATCTTTAAAAAAAAAATCTGAGATTAAAAGTCTCCCCTTAAAGGTACAATTATCAAATTCAAGTCTTGTGAACTGGAGAATTTAACATCCTTCCTCTAGTACATTAGCATAAAAAGTATGTAAGTGATCAAACATTAAATGAATTGTCTAATTAGAATCCATACAGGGTTATTCAGGTTTAGGTAATGTGTGTGTGTGTGTGTGTGTGTGTGTGTGTATGATATATATATATATATATATATATATATATATATATGCCATACAACAAGGCACAAAAACAAGGTAACTCAAAAATAAAACCTCTTAGAAAGCAAAGTGTAGTTGGGAATGCAAGCTGGTGCAGCCACTCTGGAAAACAGTATGGAGGCTCCTCAAAAAGTTAAAAATAGATCTCCCCTATGACCCAGCAATTGCACTACTAGGTATTTACCCAAAGATACAAAAATAGTGATTCAAAATGATATACTGCACCCCGATGTTTATAGCAGCAATGTCCACAATAGCCAAACCATGGAAAGAGTCCAGATGTCCATCGACAGATGAATGGATAAAGAAGATTGGTATATATACACCATGGAATATTATGCAGCCATCAAAAGGAATGAGATCTTGCCATTTGCAACGACGTGGATGGAACTAGAATGTATTATGCTAAGCAAAATAAGTCAGTCAGAGAAAAACAAATACCATATTATTTCACTCATTTGTGGAATTTAAGAAACAAAACTGATGAACATAGGGGAAGGGAAGGAAAAAAAAATAGGATAAAAATAGAGAAGGAGACAAACCGTGAGAGATTCTTAACTCTAGGCAACAAACAGGGTTGCTGGAGGGGAGGAGGGTGGGGAATGGGGTATGGGTGATGGACGTTAAGGAGGGCATTGTTGGGATGAGCACTGGGTATTATATGCAACTGATGAATCACTAAATTCTACCCCAAAATTAATAATACACTATATGTTAACTAACTTGAATTTAAATAAAACAAACGAAAAGAAAGCCAAGTGTAGAACTATCTATATAGTATGAGCTATTTATAGGTTTATAGATGTATAAAAACATCTAAAAAGATTAGAAAAAAGAACCTTTACCTACCTTTTGGAGAAATGGGAACTAGAAAGAAGAGGTGGGTATGTGATAAAAATAAAAAAGAATATTTACCTAGTGTTTTGGAGAAATGGGAACGAGAAAGAAGAGGTGAGTATTGTCATTGTCAAATTTCAAGTTTGAACCCTATGACCATATTACCTACATAATAAATGATTCTTTAAAAAAGTTACAATCATTGGGATAAATGGTCTGGTAGATTTTTTTTTAAAGATTTTATTTATTTATTCGACAGAGACAGAGACAGTGAGAGCAGGAACACAAGCAGGGGGAGTAGGAAAGGGAGAAGCAGGCTTCCCGCAGAGCCGGGAGCCCGATGTGGGGCTTGATCCCAGGACCCTGGGATCATGACCCAAGCCGAAGGCAGATGCTTAATGACTGAGCCACCCAGGGGCCCTGGTTTATTATAAAACAAAATATATAGGCATCTTTTGGTCCTGCAATACCAAGCCCATGTATTCATTAAATAAAGAGAAATGAAAACATGTATCTATTTGTACAAGAATATTAATAAGGAGTGTATTTATAACAGCCCCAAACTGGAAATAACCCTGGTGTCCATCAACAAGAAAATGAAAAAGCAAACTGGGGCATATTCCTACAACGGCATACCACACAGCAACAAAAAATAACAAATTACTCA